CTGTCCTGCCTCGGTGTGCCCTCTGCGGAATGAGGCGTCACCACCCGTCTGTTCAGGATTCTGAGAGACGCACACAAAGAGCTTTGGGTGTGGCCAGAAAAGACAAAGGACAGAGATCCCCCTTTCTCCCACATCCCTTCCTCCTCAAGTTCCACTTGCTCTTGGGGGTGCAGGCTGAACCTCACCAGATGCAGCAGGAGCCAGGAGTAGTGTCGGGGGGGGTCCAAGCTGCCATGGCGAAGCCTCTGCCCACAGATGTCCTACAAGGAACTCTGAGATCCTGGAATTGGCATGTGAGGGGGCCTTCCCCATACACACAGTGCCAGGAGCAGGGCCCCAGCCTAAATCTGGAGGCATCTGTCTACCCTTAAAGTGGGGAGCATAAAGTCTGCCCCAGGAAAACAACTGCAAGGGGGCTGACATTTACTGGGTGGCGGGAAAACCAGGCACGGCACCAGGCCCCTCACAGAAACGCTGTAGGGCTGCATTGTGCTTGTAGTGGGAATGCCATTGCACAGATGGGAAGGTGGAGGTACGCAGACACGCCTCCAGAACAACGGTGGGTGAGCAGCAGAGGTAGGAGCGGACACCAGGCAGCCCACCCCAGGGAGTGCTCACAACCATTATGCCCCCTACCCCTATCCCACTCAGGGGCAGCGGGGCTGGAGACCCTGTTACGGAATGGGGGGTTCCACCCACTATCCCCAACGCCCAAGGCTGGGAGAGAAACTGAGGCCAGAGGAGGGCACCAGACAGAGGCCATGGCCAGGGCTGTGGGAGGAAGGGCTGGAGGGGGAGGAGCAGTGGCCTGGGCAGGGCGGGGCCACCCCCAGTTAATGATTCAGTTAATAATTGCTGCTCCTCGGTTCTTATCAGGAGGGCAAAGTCCAAGAGCGGCAGCCAATGGGCAGCCCCTGTGGGCTGTTCCCCAGCAGTCTCTGCTGCCAGCCCTCCCCAGTCCAGCCTGTGAGTTAAGGAATGGGGGGCAGGTCTTGCCCCCCACAGCCTCTGTGGATGATGCATCCAGGGAAGCTCTGTCTAGAGCCCTAAGAGGAGGAGATGCCCAGAGGCCATAGGGCTGTATCAGCCTGATTCTCCCTCCTGGGCTCCCCAGGTGAACCCGCTTCCTGGGGCACCACCTCCCCACCCTGTGACATATCCACTGCTCCAGAGAGAGCATTTCCTGCCCCCCACCCCCATGTAACTTGCACTCAGTGTCAGGGATACAGGCTGAGTCAGTCAGACTCCCCCTTGTCACCTCCACCTACTCGTAAGACATGGGGAGGGTGGGGTGTGGCGGTCAGCTCTGTGGCCAGCCAGGGACAGGAGTCCTGGGGAAGGGATTCTGGGTGCCTCATCTCCTTGGGAACCAGCGGTCTAGACGCTCTGCACCTAGATGCCTCCCTGTTCCCAGGGTGACCCACAGACAGACGGACATGCAGCCACCGGACACAGTACACCCCCATCCTAACCTGCAGCGTGGGAGATGACGGCCCTTCAGTCCCCCAAGACATCAGGCTCCCCTAGGACCACCTCTACCCTCCAGGTGGTCCTGGGCGCAGGCCTATGGTCTACCTGTCCCTCATCCCACAGGCTCAGGCACGGAAGTGAGAGCTGGGCCCTGAGTGACTCTGGGCAAGTTCCTGTTCTCAAGGCCTCGGTCTTAGGCCCTGGGAAGTGGGTCCAATGTCATGTTCCTCTCCTAATCCATGCCAGAGCTCAGGCGGCAGGTGTTGGTAGAACAGCTTTCAAAGTAGGATGCTGGTGCTGTGGGGACCCAGTCCCCCGTCTGTCCTCTCCCATCTCGAGGTCACCAGCTTGTCTTTGGTGAGAGAGTGTGGTGGCTTCAAAAGTCAAACCGGAAGTGCCAGGTCCACTTCCCCACCATTCCAGGGAGGAAAGCGAGGCCCAAGGAGGGAGCCGCCAGCCCAAGCCACTCAGCAGGTCAGGGACCAGCCAGAAGCCAGGCCTCCCACCTCAAACCGGGGAGTGCCCTGGAGCTGAAGGGAGACCCCAACCTCTCAGCCTCTCCAGGATCCAGGAAGGCCCGGTTTTCTAGGGGACACAGGCTACTCACTGTAGTCTTACGTGCGTGCCCAGAGCCAGGGCCCTGGACACGGACGCCCCTCACCCCTCCCGTCTCTGCCGTCCACACTCTGGACCAGCCCTGTTCCCCACGGTGGGGAGCATAGGCCTGGACATGGCCTCAGGGCCCTCCCCACCTCTCCCATCCTGCAGTGGAGAAGGAGCCCCAGGAGGCTTGGGCCCAACCAGGCCCACCTGGCTTTTGGAGGCCCTGGCAGGCTGCTCGGTACAGCTACCCCTGTCCCCTGGTGGTCCCCACCCGAGCCTTTCAGGGGACAAAGAACACACGTGCAGGGATCAGTTACCTGCTGGAGGCCAGTGCATCCTGCTGGGGTACCCTCCGCAGGCCCTGTGCCCGCCGCACTGGGTGGCCGTGGCCTCTCACTAGGGGATTAGCTCGCGGTCACGGGGACCCGGCTGTACCAGCCTCGAGGGGGCCGCTCCATCCCGGCCTCCCACCCGAGGCCCAAAGCGCCTTAGCCACGGTGCCCAGCACCCGGGCAGGTCACGCACAGGATATATATATGCCTGCTGTGACCAGGGAGGGGGCGCCGGGTCAGGCTGGGGGCTCCCGCTGAAAAGGACACTCCTAACCCCCAGTCCAGAGCCACAAGCAAAGATCTCCACCCACTGCTCAGAGGGAGTGACTGAGGCCGAGCAGGGACCAGGAGGAGAAAGCCAGCTGGCCCGTCCACGCTCCAGTGCACGCAGAGCACAGGTAGCCTGCCCCTGCCTGCTGGGGCGACACATCACCTTCCCCTCACGCTGGCAAGAAGAGTCAGTGGCTGCTCCCTCATCCCCCGCCTGCACCCCCAAACCATCGGTCACCCCCAGGGGCCCAGGAGACCCAGGACCTAGGCTCCCCCCCATCCCAAACTGCAAAACGGTCTCTCCCTTGAGCGGGCAGCCCCGCACCCGCCCCTGCTCCCCACAGACATTCTTGAGCTTTCTCTTATCTCTCTGAAGGGTGCAGTGCAACCTCCCTGCCAGGCTGCATGGCTGAGCTGTGGCGTCAGCCCCCACTCCCCTCATCCCAGCCAGGAGATGTAGCCAGGCAGCCAGGCCCACCCCTCTGCTTGGGAGGAACACGGGGTATCTGTGGGAAGCAAGGGGGCCTGCCCAGGGACCATCTAGGGGTTCCAGCCTCAGAGCACCCCAAAGTTCCAGGCTCCAGATGTGGCCCCCTACCCAAGGGGCTCTATCCTCTACAAAGACGCCTCAAGAGCTCTGAGAAATGAGTCCCTGTGGCAACCAAGGAGTCCAGGGACAGACAAGGGGGCACTGAGCATTCTCAGAATCGCTGCTTTCGAACTAATCTCACCCCAAACTGGTGTTCTTGGGGTCTGGGTGTGCTGGGTTCCCTGGATTCTGAAGTGGAGCAGGCCTGTGGTCAGGGAACGTCCTGACCCAGGCTGCCCAATCGGCGGAAGTGGACAGAGGTTTGTGTCTTTAAGTCTCAGAAAGTGAAACTGAGGCAGAGAAAGACCGTCCCAGCCCCCTTATGGGGCTTTGTAGGGACTCGAGGACTAGACTTGAACCTGGGCCCTGATTCCTGCCCTGGACAGCAGAGTCTGTGTCCCTGGCCACCCCAACACCCCAGCACAGATCAGAGGGAGGACAGAAGGCTACGGGGGCACCGAGGGTTAGGAAGTGGGAAGCCGAGAAGAGGTTGCCCCACAATTTGTGGGGAGGGTCACGAAAAAAGCCCCTAGTCTTGGCTAGATGTTCCAGCGAGGGGCTGTGAAGTGGAGGGGCTGCGAGGGCCACCTCCCCCTCCAACATCCCATCCATCCCTCTGGAATCCAACATTCAGGGAGGTGGGAGGGCCTAGAGTGGGGGGGGGCAGGGGCTACTCAGGAAACAGGGAGGGAGTTGGTTAACAGTGGGGGCAGCCCCCCAAATCCCTTGTGTAGGGCCTGCAAAGGGGAAAAGACAGAAGTTGTAGGGACAGGAGGAAGGAAATAATGTGGGGTGTGCATGGATCCCCATCCTGGGGAGGTCCTATCAGGGTCAAGGTAAGGGGATGAGGTCACTCCTGGTGGGGCACAGCTAGAGGACGTATCAGGAGGGGCAGGTGCAGGGGCCCCCACCTTGAGGAGCCTCGGGGGGCCCATGGTGCCTCTCACTGCATTGGAGGATCTGAGATGAGGAGGCTCTGTGGCTAAGGTTACCCCTTTCAAGAAGTTTCCACCCCCGAGGACAGAATAGATGGTGACCCAGCCTGGAGAGGAGCCCCAGACTCAGTATGAAGGGGGCTGCCTCCTGACAAACTTCAGCTTTAGTGAATGGAAGATGGTGCCATTTTTGAAGGGAGACCCCGTCCCAGGAAAGCAGAATCTCCCTCGGAAGAGGAACAGGGACCAGGGGTGGCTCTCTGAAGGATGGACAGGGGTCCCAGTCTCTAGGAGGGGGTCCAGGCTTCTGGAGTGCAGGAGGGTGTCCCAGGGTCTGGGATGTACAGTGGGGGCTGGGGTGCCAGCCTCAAGTGGTATAGAAGATCCTATAAGGTGTGCTAGGTATGGGGGGGATCGCCTCCCAAAGGGGGGTTCTAGGTCCAGAGATCACAGACGGGTGCCCAGACTCAGGAAGTGCACTGGAGGCTGGGCGGGGGTCAGAATCTCAGGTGGACCTGAAGGTCCTGGAAGGCGTGGAGAAGGTCCCAGCTGGAGAGGGGACACAGCCCCAAGGAGGCTGTGTGTTGGGGGGCACGTGGGGGAGCCCACACTCAGTAGAGGTGCCTAGGGGTAACCTCAAGGGGACTCCAGGCTGTTGCCAGGCTGGAAGAGGGTCCTCGCTCAGAGAATGCGTTCTCGGGACCCCCACGGAGTGCAAGCACAATGGGGGTCCCAGGCCCCGGGGAGCTCCCAGCGCCAGGAGCTCGCCGCGCCCGCCCTCCCGCCTCCCCCATCGCTCACCTTCGAAGAAGCGCTGCAGCGCCTCCGTCTCGTCCACCACCTCCATGTCCGGCCTGGCCCGCGCGCACTCCGGCCCCGGCCCCGCTACAGCCCGGCCCGGGGG